CCTCTACTGAGAAAGAAGCGACAGCCCAAGCGCTTCCTTCCCCATATACAGAGTATAATACCCTTGATACCTGCAACAACTTCGCACTGGCGAGAGCCGGCTTCATTTTGTACTGCGCATCGGAAGTACAAGCGTATACAAAAAAACGGTTTATTTTCGCAGCCCTGCACCACCGGCGAGCATTTTTATAAGTCAGAACACGCCTGGAGAAGTGCTTCGGTCTTGTAGGAGTTGAATAAGCCTGTCAAACTCGCAAGCACGCGACATCGGGGCTACTGGAAGCGTTTGTTACCCCCATACTATGTGCAGCATACCGTGTGAAAGAGCCTGGTACCCCCTGCCCAGCGCTTTGTTACGCTTCTGGCTCAAGGGAGATAGAAAGGAACACTGTAAACATCTGTAGTGATTTCAAATAGTCATTGACATGGATAGCTACAGAAACCATGATGTGAGCCTCATGTCGGCCATGATACAAAGTGTAAAGTGAAACATTGGGTATAACAGAACAACTTGCAATATAATTCTGTGACTATTAGTTCAAAGACGTCTGAACATGAAGTTCAGCAGCAAACCTACACTCCGTGAACATCAGCGTGGATGTTTGTCACGAAAGAATGAAGTACCACATACTGTGCAATATCGATGTGTGTCGACAGCAATAAAGTACCACCATACACTGTCCGGTACTAGACAGAGACAGAGCCACACACATTATGAACAAACATACTACACAAACGGAGCTGAACAGCCTAAGTAGTAGTTGAACAGTCAGATGCCTCTCCATTTCCGTCTCGATCTGCAAAAGGAATCTGGAGAATACAGTTGTGGACGATCGAGATGAGTCAGTTCACTGTACACAACCTACTTGAATAATGCTCATGACATTGTTCTTCTTGGAGAGACAGCTCTGACTGTTCCTAGAGCACCACGGGACGGTGGAAGGCAGGTGGAAGGACAGGGGGATAAAGCGGTAGCATCCCACTGTTTTTGTATAGGCCGTCATTATACACGTACACATCAATATATGGCGCAGATTATGACCAAGAATACCGCCTTCGCAAAGATGCTTGCCGTCGCATACAGTATACAAACGGTCGTCTAACGCTGTTTCCCTTCTGCCTTTTTCAATCAGACTTTCTCTCCAAAATTGCTGGCGATCCGTAGAGACAACTTTTCAGGCTTGATAGCTGTTCATTCTGCTGCCTGCGGCCGCTGTCGAGAAGCGACCATGGGCCACGAAAAACGTATCTACTCGTAGCGTCTTCTCCAAGGGTCAACGTGGTTTTGCGTAAAAACTCTGCCCACTAATCCTCGGTGCGCAAAGCCCCGCGATAAAGCCATAGGGCCGTTGCCAACGCCCCGTTGCTACGGAAATTTTATGATTACGTAATGGTACCGTGACGTCACTAAGTTGGTACGGAATTGAAACAGCCGTGACGTACGCAGAGACAACATCGCTTTAGCTAGTAAGTTCGCTTAGACAGTGGGAGATGCAATATTTGGAGGCTGCCGCGTCGATATTTGCCATCAGCAGTTTTCCTTGGCGAGAGGTTGCTATACCTGGGCTCCCTGGATGGCGTGCTGCAACCACCACCACTGTGAGTGCCGAGGAGAGAAGGTTTTCTGGGGCTTTCAGCTACAACTGTGGCACTTCGGTGACCTCGTCGACACGGAGGAACAGATTTATTGTATGGTAAGATAGGAGAAAAAAGGGGAAGAATGGCTAGCTGGGCGTTAACTAGAACTGCGAACACGTGGTGCAGAAAACTGTCGTTCCGCCAAATACCGGAAGTGTCTGTTTGTTTTGTGGTGGTTTTGGCTTTGCTGTGTTTTGCTCACCTGCCCTTATTTGAGTTTCCTTTTTTCCTTTATTATTAATTATTCATAAAAAAACTTTTCGACTTCATATTCGACTGGCCTCTTGTACTGTGTGAACGAAAGTGTTCTTGTAGGTTGAGCTGCTTTCCAACTACCCACCATACTAGTTTCCGGGTCGCAAGCGACGTTTACTAGGTCTGTACTCGCCCCTCTCTCAGCGCGGTACAAATACGCAGTAACCTGCTGGAAAATCGTCCGAATAGTTTTGTGCACAGTCAGTCACTCTCAGAATTTGCAGGTACTTAGAGCAGACTTAGAGCAGACTTAGAGCAGACTTAGAGCTAGCCCATGCGTAAATTTTGGAACGTTCTGCTGCGTTTACCCTAAGAAGACTGGTTTCAAATGCTGACAAACACGTGTACTGTGTACAGAAGAGAGTCGGGGGCGGGGCGTACGTGCAGTTCAGCGATAGATTGAATGCATGTTGAATATGTGCGAGATTTAGCGTAAAGCATAGACACGAGCTTGATCATGATTTGTATGTACCTTAAGGTTACTATTAATTGTGGGTACTAATTTTAGCGAATTTAGCAGGAATCACTAAAACCGCTAAATTATATGCGCGCTAATAATTGTGCCGCAACGAGGTTATACTGCGCGCGCGTCAATGGAAATACGCGATTTAGACGGCACGAGGGACCCTGAGCTGTATCTGTCTGAGCGCAGCGAAGACGCTACTAAGGGCTCCGAGGCCGTCTAAATCGTGTATTTCCATTGACAAGGCCGTGCTGGCCATCAAGGTCCGTCGTCTTCCGCGAGACTCGCCTCGCTGGGGGAAGCTAAAAAGGTCTTCATTTTGGTTTATTTTTGCATCGTAGAGAGGCCTCATTGAAGAAGCATCGGATATAGCGAGTTTGAAGTCGTCGTGGCGAGCTCTCAGCAACAGAGCGAGTTTCTTTGCGCGGAAGCTTGCCACACCCCCATCTAAGACGCCATTTTTGGCGGGCATCTCCGTGGAAACACACACTTGGAAAATACGGGATTTAGAATGCACGTTTTACGCAATCTGATTGGTCAATTTGAATCTGCCGACGTCTAATACGCTAATATGTTAGACAAATCGCTAAAATTAGTATAAGCCAAAAACACTCAGTGCAAAAACGCTAAAATTAGTACCCGCAATTAATAGTAACCTTAAGGTACTCTGCTGGCAGTCCAGTTGATTCTGACTCACTTACTGTATCTACTACTAGAACGAATGCCATACATTGTTCGCGAGTGAGCCGATTAAATTACTAGTTAGCGCATGGAAGCACCAAAATCATGCAATTCAAAGGACTGGGTGGGCTTTCCTCACCATTTACACAATGCGTGGTCTCCGGCTGTTTCACTAGCAGAGAATTTATTTCTACCAGCATGAGTTGACGACAATAACTGTGCTGGGTGAAGGGGATCTTGTTCTACAGAGATAATATTATTTGGAGGATATCACTTGTATATTATGTAGGAAATGCTGTGGCCACTCACTGTGCCTGCTAGAGATGTCCTTGGATTTCAGCCTGGCTCATGCTGCTCTACAACTAGAGATAAAGGACGGGAGTACCTTGCTACCAAATGTGACGATACAGGAACTGGAGGGAAATTCTGTCGCCATTCTTTTTGCAACATCTTCATGTGTGTTCAGACTTCTCCTACCACATCCTGATGCAATCAGCAAGGTCACACTTTTTCCTGTCTCAATAAGGGTTGGTTTTACGAGTGGGGTCCAGTAATGCCACAAATGACCCTTTACTCTATTGTGCAGTGCTTGGGACCATTTTGTAGCTTTTAAAGATCCCATCTCTTTAGTCTTGGTTTGGTACAAATTCCAATGCATAGTTTTTGTGTGACATTAGAAAAACCCTTGTTTTCAATATTTCAACTACGTACTATATTGTCCCATGTCAAGGCATGAACTTCCGAAAATGTTAATTATGTGTACAGATTCATATTTCTATTGCTCCTAAATTTTCCAAAAATGTTCAAGGCATGCACTTGGATATACAAACACAAGGAATATGAGTTGGTGGTGTAGACAGCTGTCTACCCACTTAGGATTCAATAATGACATTCCTTCTAAGTACTCATTTCCTGAACCTCATTTGTAAGTTTTCAGTTCCTACCTGTAGCTCCTTAGAATGCACAGAGGAAAGAAGCTTTGTCTATTTTTTATATATAGAATTTTAACTCATTGCGGACGGATGTCACAGCGTATGTGACAGGAATTACCCCGCCGTACGGACGGATGTCACAGACGCTGTGACAAGCAAACGCTTTGCGTTTACTTAGCTCTCGCGCGTCTCTTCAGAAATAGCAGCCAGCCACGCCTCAAGGCTACACCCAACTACAACTGGGAAACCCCCTGGAGTACTTTAGCGCCTGTGGGCGGCATTCTTGTGGCTGCCAAAAGAACGCAAACAACCCGCGTTTATACACGCAGCTTGTAAAGTGACAAACACGATCTTATACATCAGGTATAGTGATACAAAGACTTTAGCTAACGCTATTTATGATTGAAAAGCTAGGAAATAAGCTTAGAAGGCTGATCACGAGCATTTGTGACAGTAGTTGAGCGCTTTCATGCTCCAACTGACTTCCATGTCTTGTATGCACCTGCAAGAGACGGCAAAAGAGTAAACTCGACAGAGTAGCGTAGGTATAGATATTTAGGACACATGCAAGTACTCTTGTATGACTGTGCTAAGCCTAGATGTCGAAATATGGCCTCTACTAGAGAGAAAACTGTGCTGTGCACCGCAGAAGTACACACTATAGATCGCAATAGTGTACTTTCTCTCACACACGCTCCCGTATCGCTGCTGTTTTGACTGCAGTAAGTATATAGATCTCATCTACTATCCATGGAGCCTTTTCTCAACTTCTTATGTACTATATTTTGTGTGCCAGCTGCTCCTAAAAAGAAAACGTCAGGGGTCAAAGCTTTAGTCTTCAAAACGGGCCGCTTTACGCAGCGAAAACACGCATTCATGCGTGTATTTACCAGCATGACCTCTCTCTCGATCTGCATCTGCAACAAGTCTCTGTGCTAGCTATAAGGCAACAAACTCCCGAGAGAATCACACGAGGCATCTTCCCCCACTACACGCAGAAAAAAGTGCAGACCGTGCAATAAATTTCGCGCACGCGCCCGTCGTCCGCTAAGAGTTAAAGTTGCTCAATGACGACAAACTAATTAGTCAGTCACCATTACTCCAATAATTACCAAAAAATCCATAAAAACTAGAAACGCAAGTAGGAACAAAATTACAGAGTATTTAAAAAAACTAGTCTATAGAAAAAAAATATGCCCTCATCTGTAACGATCACTCATTGACACCGATGCGTCGATGAGATGCTTAGATTTTTTTAACATGTTTTTCGACCTCTGGACCTGCTGAGACGCCCAAAAGGTACCCAAACATATTTGATAGGCTCTGAGAAAACGACCCTTATAGCGCACGTAGTAATGTTGTAGTAGCGGCAGTTTTGCGGCGAACTACGTAATTTACCAATTCCCGTTTCCCCCTGTATTCTAGTGCCTCTGTCTATCGTCTATAGTCTGCGCAAGTGTGACGCACTAACTCCGTTCCGTTCCGTAGTTATGATCCTGGGTATCAGGCAAGTGCCGTTACTCGTGCCGTCATTACAAGGAAACGTGACACGGGAATAATCAAACCTTTTACGGAGTCATGTAAATGGGAATTCCCCTTTTCCCACGGAATACGGAGGTGCACGGAAATGGCTTCTAAGCTCATGTTGCATCTGCTATCTACAGCCTCTTCCACCTGGTCGAGGGAGACCAGGCTTCCCTCCTCCATGATTACTATACCTGTTAGTAGTTCTTGTGGTCCAGACAGTGACAGTTGAAGGTGTTGCCGGCATAAGTAAAAATAATGATAAAAACACCTGTATTACTTCAGCAAGAAATCATTGATGTAGAATAACGTGTATATAAGGGTCTGTCATATGAGCGGCAGTGGTACAGTATGAGCGGATCCGCCCCTTCTCCTCCAGGAGCATCGGGACACAGTCACTCCTCGGCGACCCTTGCCCAATCCCAAGAGAACACGCATGCCTGCACCCGAATAAATTAAATGCATACACAGAGAGAATACTTCTCGGTGTTTCCAATAGCGCAACATCCAACTAAAGTGGCTAGACTTTTTGCACTCATGTCTGATGCTTATTTGCGCTTGTATGTAGGCTAAAAGCGCTCCCTCTCCCCAATAGCTTCCTTCCAGGTGCAACAGCTTGTGTGGCAGCGACCCACGTACCCTATCCTCTCACCTCTCTTCTCCACAGCGCCAGAAACGTGAGTGACGGCAGCCTTGGCTACACGGTACAGAGAGACAGCCCTGACAAAAATGTCCGGAAGTAGACGTAATTCCGAGTGATGATGTAATGCTGTGAAACGGACGGGGAACGAGAATATGGAGGTTGAAATTAGATACCGGAATTTCAGCTTCAGACAAGATTTTTCACGTTCGAAGCGGCGGAACGGCACTTGTGTTGGTTATCATAACTTCGCAATGGAATGGGCTATGCGCCTGAAACAAACTGCAAACTGTAGAGCATTGGTGGGTGTTTAGTTCTGTAGCAAAAATATTTTTTCCAAAATTGCGTCATAAGAGTCGTTTTCTCAGTGCCCGTCACAATTATAGTGGCGAACTTTTCTGTAGTGATTCTGGATGTTGGTGATTGTGACGGAGTCCAGCCCATTTGGTATGTTCTGTCTAAGCCCAGACAAGTGTGTAGTTTGTGTGGGAGCGTACATACCCATTTTTCCTGTGCCCTATATCGCTCTAAGGCTTGCAGGCAGCATACAACAGTGCCCACGTCTGTTCAAATAGTGCTCAATCTTGGTTTTCTCATTTTGAAGTCTTCATGGCTAGCCAGCTCTTTCCGCGTGTCTTCGAGTTACATCCACCGTGTGTCGACTCCCCTCTCCTACCTCCAACAGTCCCTTGGGCACTCCTAGGTTGAACACCATTGAATACTCCTTCCCTTGCCAAACGGTGTTATGCATTGCTGGCTGTTTGCCTCCTGGTCTCATGTTCATTAGGCCTGAATACATTCTGCTATTAATTTTACCTATTCTTCTTTTCTTTTATGCTCATAATTTAGACCTATTTTGCTTTCGCTTTCACCTATTTTTCTTGCGAGGTTACCCATTTTTCTTCAGTTAAAAAGGAGATCAATCAGCAAAGATTCAAGAACCAAACATTACACAATGAAAATAAAAAGAATTTTTCAGTTACTACTACGATTATTATACTGTAGACTGTCGATTTCAGTGGTTTGGATGCAGATATTACGTTTTCTTACCAGCATTGGCACAAAACTTGCTAACAAAATTACAGTGTGATTTGGTTTTATAGAACATGTCCCATAAATATGGTTTTGTTGGATGTGGTCTCCATACCTGTGTAGGATTCGTGTTAAATAATCCTAATCATGCAGACTTTTCTGTTTGGCTGCTAAAGTTTGTGATATAATATCTTCGAGAAAGGAGTCAGCATGTCTGATCAGTCTTCAAAGAATACTCAGTTTTCATGGGATGCAATACGGGGATACACCGTAGTTCTCCTTGCTTTCGCGTTCCTTCCGACCACTCTTGGAACAGACGGCGGGGTAACGACAGCATTAGGATTGATTTTTATCAGCAGTGCATGGATTGGTTTCGGTATTTTACCCCTGTTCGGTGAAAACAGGACCACACTTGTGTTTGTTGCGAGCGTTATCTTAGTTGCAGTAGGAAGTGGCATTGGCGGATTGGGGGTCGCGACAATCATAGAAGTTCTGTTCTCCGAGGCCAAAACGTCCGTAGCAAATGACTGGATGCTTGGGGTGGCATCAGTGTTAGCAAATCTGGCAGTCTTGATATGGGGTATTGTGATTCTGAAAGTATCGCATGATACTCTCTCGTTGCGTATTGGCGTGATTTTCCTTGCTATGGCGAGTGGGTACCCTGTCGGCTATGGAGTTTGCTCAATTATACTGTCGATTGGTCAGAATGATCCTCAAATATTCACCAGTTCCGGACAAGCGATGGCAGCAATTTTGAACGGTGGTGCAATCATTGCGTGGACGCTTTTAATCACACGGAAAGTGGTTCATGGTAAAGTTAGGTTAGTCGTACCAGTTCTGGTCATCTGTGGAATCGGTTTCATCGGCATAGGAATTTCGTATATTATAGATGCTATATAACGTGAGTTCGATAATAAAATGCGTATGTGGTCGTAGGTTGGGTAGAGCGGTAAAGGACCGAGAACCCTACAGTTTGCCCGGGGAATATCACTTTTCGATGAACTTGAAAATGAAACTCACAAGTGCTGTCTTCCCTTAGAAAAGGAGTCAAAATGACTAATGAATCTACAAAAAACAACGGAGTTTCATGGCAGGCGATGCAAGGGATTTCGGTTTTCATATTTTTCGTATCGCGTCCGGATATAAATAGCATATTCACCTTGATTGGCATCGGTACGATGTTAATTTGTCTCGGCATCAGTCCACTATACGTTAAGAATAAGCCGACTTCTGTGTTTACTGCTTCCATAATCATGGTCGCTTTAGGAGGTGGCGTTGGAGGGTTGACAATTGGTACACTTTTGGAAAGACTATTTGCTGAAACCCCAACAGCAATTGGAGATAGCTGGGTAGCGGGTGTCACTTTGGTTTGTGCAAGTCTTGGTGTTTTGGCGTGGACATTCGTGGTTGTGAAAATATCGCCACTAACCCGTCCACCGCTTATTGCTATCGTTCTCTTTGCTCTTGCAGGTGTATACTCTCTAATTTTGGGTATCCTGTCAGTAAAAACAGTCCTTTTTGATCAAACTCAGATAACATTGACGTGGGGAGAAGGGATAGCCCATATTTTAAATGGTGGTGCAATGGTTGGGTGGACGCACCTCGTTACGCGGAAAACGTCTATTACAAATCGTAAGGTATTCGTAATATGTTTAATGATTGCTGGAGTGGGGATTGTTGCAGTCGGCATTACGCATATTTTGGATGCTATCTTTTAGTGGGAAACAGGCTTAAACCGGAGTAGGAGGGAACATGTTGAAACAAATTGCAAAGAGACTTGTAGGGCACGAGCAGGTTTCATGGGAAACGATGGCAGGCGATTTGTCGATTTGCCTTGCACTAATGTTCCAGGCCGCGCTTTGGAATAGCGCAGTCCATTCACCTTTGATAGCTTTGACAGGAGGGATGCTGATCCTATTTGGTACAATGTGGGTTTTTCTCGGCAACCATCCGCTGTTTCTTGAGAATCGACCTACATCGGTGACGATCGGTGGTTGGGTTATTATTGCGTCAGGATGCTGCATTATGGGACTCGGTATTGGCATGATTATATCACTGGATGCAGATGTTAGTTGGATGCCGAGGTTGGCGGGAATTTTTTATAGCCTCGCAATTTTTGTATGGGTCTTCGTGCTGCTAAAGGTAGCGCCTATAACTCGCTCGCTCCTTATTGGTGTTGCTTTCTTTGTCCTCGCGAGCGGGTACGCACTCATCTGCAATGCGCAAGTGGTGATAAATGCAATCGTTTCTGATATGTCTTATGTAGAGGTATATTGGGATCAGGGAATAGCTTATGTTTTGAATGGATCTGCCATAATTGCGTGGATGCTTTTGATCGTGCGGAAAATTGCCGATGTCAAAGTCAAGTCTATTGTCCCTCTTTTCGTATTTTTAGGTGTCGTATACATCGGAATAGGAATTGTGCTAACCATGGCATTAGTGTTCCCCTAATGGTGAACTTTTATATCTTTTCTTATGATACCAAATCTGAAAAATAAATTCGCATTTCAGAGATTTTGAAACTCATAGGAGGTTTCCGCATGTAAGAGGCGCAATAATGCACGTCGCATTTGGTCGAGTACGCCGCAGAATTGCGCGACTACGAACCGGTTTTCGTTAATGAGAAACGTTTATTCAGAAATGGTATGACAAATAGGTAGTGACGAACCCACATCAGAGGTGACAAATGTTTAAGCAATTCGCAGAGAGACTTGTAGCACGTCTAAATATTTCATGGGAAACAATGGATTTTGAGTTACATCACCTTAGTGAAGATAGACATAGCGAAACCCATAGGTGTCAATTTAGCGGTCCTTCAGGCCCGGTAGGCGCGGTTTCCAACCGCGCCGGGTTCTATCCACAAACTGTGTATACCCCAAAAAACCTCTTGAGTCCCAAAGGGACGGCATCTGTGTAGAAACATGTATCAACACCAAAGACTCAAGCCCCAGAGGGGCGGCATTTGTAGAGACGCTGCTACAAAATACCGCGAAATATCGCTAAATTGACACGTATGAGGTAGACATAGCGAAACCCAACAACCCAAACGTTGTAGACGTGAGACTGTGTCCAGTTTCACTCTCTTGGCGCGCCGCAAAGTTCACAATTTTTCTTTCTCTTAATTCCCGCATGATGTATTATATGAAATAGGAGACTCATGTAGAGTCTTGGCTAGCAATAAATCACTTGAAATACACAACTCTCAGAAACAGAAGGAGACAATCTCATGAAAAAAGTGTTTTTTCCACTCATGATGCCATCTGTCCTCCTCATATTACTCGTTCTACCTGTCAATCTCGCCTCAGCGCGGGCGTTTAACAACGATTTCGAGACAGGCGACCTCACCGATTGGGAGGAGAAACAGGAGAGGCATTTGATTTCCAACCCACTTGGGGAGATAACCCAACGGCACGAAACCGAGGACAGCCTTCTCAACATCAGGGAGATTGGTGGCTTGGGTTAGCTGAAAAGTACCAAGGACCGGACAAAGGGGCAAAACTGGGGCAGAAGCCAGGCGATCTTGCAGATGGTGTGGATGCCCCTCAAGGCACCTTGACCTCAATTGAGTTCACCATTGTTGGCGAAACGATGAATTTTCTTATGGGAGGTGGAAACCGTGCTTGGGATACTGCTGAGCCATGTTGTGTCAATCTTGTGATTAATAACGAGGTTGAACGAACAATGACCGGTAACAGCACCGAAAGCATGACCCGGAAAGAGTGGGATGTTTCCGATTTGAAAGGCAAAACCGTCCAACTTGTTGTTGTTGATAAAAGTAGCGGCGGTTGGGGACATCCGAACTTTGACGATGTACACCAAGCCGATTCCAAGGGAAATAATATTCCTTGGGAACGGGTTCTATCTGTCGATGCCCGAGGAAAATTGGCTGTTACTTGGGCACAGATGAAAAAGTACTATTAGTTTGAAAGTCAGACAGCATAAGAATTCTTTCATTGTTGAGTGGGCGGACATGTTCCGCCCCTACAATGATACTGGTGCCAATCCCGCGCGCTCGCGAAAACGATTGAATGTTTTCAGAATCCCTTGCTCCATCGTATAGGCAGGCGTGAATCCCATCTCCTCAGCGATAGTTGTTGCGTCGTAATCCCACGAGATACCGAATACCCCCCGGTTCCAATGTAATCTGTGCATCTGGTACCAATGTCTTGAGATATGCCACGCCATCTTTAACGGGTCGGATGCCACCCTTCACGTTGAAGACGCGTGTCTGCGTCGTCGGACAGGTGCACGCGAGCACAATTGAACTGGAAACGTCCTCTACGTATTGCCAATCCACCGCATCGTCACCGAATGGACAGACATGCGGTTTACCCAACGCTATCTCTTCAATCATTTTTGTAGTGAACGAACTCATGCCCCGTGTCCTACCGACACCGTAGACAGCAGTGAACCGAAGCCCGATTGAGTCAACACCGTAAGCATCGAAATAGTGTGTCGCATATTTTTCATTCAGGGATTTACATGCACCGTAGATAAACTTTGGATAGTGTGGCGCATCGTTAAGTATCTGTTGGTGATTGTAATCTTCCGGGGATCCGAAGACCGCAACGCTGCTTGCCCAGACAACGCGTTTGAGATTGAAAATACGCGCAGCTTCCAATATGTTGATTGTTCCTTCGCAGACTATTTTTAATGCCTGCGGTGGATTCGCATTGCACGCTGGCACCTGCCATGAAGCGAGATGAATCACCCGATCGATTTCGTGTTCTTGGATAGTACGTAAAACGTGTGGCAGGTCGGTAATGTCGCCCTGCACGAAGGTGAACCCTTCAATTTGCGTATCCGTGAGTACCATCTTTGGAATGGTTAGGTCGTAAGCAAAATCGTAAACCACTACCTTTTCACCGGCGGCTAATAGATCGCGGATGACGTAAGTACCGATGCATCCCATGCCACCGGTGAGCAGATATGCCATAATCTTTTACTCCTCTTAAAGAGGCGCGATCGCTTGACCACGCCTTCTGCCAAAGTCTATATACGAAACAGGTCCTAACTCGCTTGGACGGGGGTATCCACGTTCACAAGAATATCGTCACCCTCCACTTTCACAGGATAGGTGGGGATGCTTTCCTCCCCTGGCCACACACATTTCCCTGTCGTCACATCAAATTCCCACATGTGGAGTGGGCACGTAACACAATTATTGTCTAAGAAGCCGTAACTCAAAACGCCACCGAGGTGTGGGCAAATATTGTTCATTGCGTAATACTCACCCTTAACGTTGTAGATACCGATGAAAACGCCATCAACTTTTACACCGATACATCTGCCGGGCTGAATTTGATCGGTTGTCGCGGCTTTTACAAATTGTGACATAATTTCTCCGTCTTTTCGTGTTTTATACCAACTTAACTTGATTAGAAGTCTTTTGATCAAGTCAGCATTGCGAGGCACAGGGACCTCGCGCTACAAATTGGATTAATTTGGTATAATACGAAACGTAAGATTAAAACCGCATCAGAAAACCTTGCTCTGGTTTTCCGATGGATACCACTGCTGCTCAAAAATTCAGTTACGAATTGGGTCTCGGAATAGACGCAAACCGGTTTAAACTGCACGTAGGATTGTTTCACCCATCCTTGTGCGGACTAAGCATCATCCATTGGATATAGGCTACATCCGCCGTCTACGAGTAGCACTGTCCCAGTCATATAATCTGCGGCGGAACTACACAAAAATAGGAAGGCGTTTGCCACCGAATCAAGCGGTTGCATAACGCCGAGTGGGATTGCTTTTTGTGCTCGAGCCCGATAGATTGGATCCGTATCCCACTGTTGTTTGGCAAGTCCAACACTAACAATGCCGGGGGCGACTGCATTTGCACGAATCCCTTTATCCGCCAATTCCCGTGCAAAGGAACGCATTAACTGTTTCATCGCTGCCTTACTTGCGTTATACGGTCCAATATCGGGCCACGGCACATCAGCAACCCAAGATGTGGTAAAAATAAGGTGTCCTTTAACACCATCTTCAAGCATTGAACGGGATGCGGCACTGCCGAATAAAAACGCTGTTCGTACATTGACCGCCATTGTTTGATCCCACTCTTCTGCTTTGTATTCTAACAACGGTTTTGGAATCACCATACCGATATGACACAGCGCGACGTGGATAGGTCCGAACCGTTCGCGCGCAGCATTTACCAACATATCAGTTTCATCAGTATCCGTCAAGTCTGCCTTAACATAGTTAATTTTTTCTATGTCAATTCCGTTTTGGCTGAGTCTGTCCATCGCCAGTTGATCCAGCAGGATATCATTTACCGTTAGGTTTGCGCCGTGTGCCATCAATTTTTTTACGATGCCAATCCCGATCGCTCCGCACCCACCGGAAATAACGATGTGTTGCCCTGCGAGTGCATCGTTGCGGAAAACCATTGCCAGATCTCCTGTTATTTCGCCATCACTTTGCCTTCGCCTCGTGGATCCGTACCGCCATCGTGGTGATTTCCGTCGCTTGATACGCGAACACCGTGCCCAGGACCGCCAATGCCTGCACTTGCCGTGATTTCATGCCCGAGTTTTCTCAACCCTATGAGAATATCTTCACCGGCGCGGGATTCAATTTGGATCGGTTCAGCACCGTCGCTATGGAAACGCGGCGCGTCTAATGCCTGCTGCATTGGCACCTGCAAGTCCATAAGGTTAATACTGATATTAAGCTGATTATTCGGAATAGTTCTGCCTCCGGGAATACCGTAGGTGGCAAAAGGCATACCGTCCCGCGTAGCAAGAAACGGAGCCATGTTGTGAAGTGGACGTTTTCCGGGGCCGACTGAGTTTGCGAGCCCTGGTCTCGGATCGAAACGCCCGACACCGTGTCCAAAGAGCAATCCAGTCCCCGGGACTGTCACCATTGAACCGAACCCGCCGCCGTGTGTCTGCGTCAGGGACACCATGTTACCTTGCGCATCCGCAGTGGAGATATGGCTTGTGCAATTCATCGGTTCATGGTAGACAACCTCCCCAGGTTGAGGCGATTTCAGTCCTGCCTTCAACTTTTCACTCAGTGTAGCGGTGAAGTTATCTGAGACTTCTGTTTCGATGTCTATGCCAACAACCTTCGGATCTCCAAATCGCCGGAGTCTTTCGGGCCAGCAAACCTTCATCGCTTCAGCGAAAAGGTGGAACCTTTCAGTAACAGACATCTCTGCCACATCAAACGCCTCTACGAGTCGAAGCATCTGTAAGGTCGTCAGCCCACCTGCACCGAGTGGTGCTGTGTAGACAGAGTAGCCTCGGTACTGAACTTCTCTGCATTACCAGTCGCTTCCTCGTCTGACTTTGTAAAGTCCCCCGGACTCCTCCTCGGTACCATCTTCTGTATTCGCTGTCCAGTGTCCCTTCTCTGCCATTTCTGTGTGTCACGCTGACCCTACCTTCTCGGCATTACGCCTAATGTTGGATTTGTGGTGGGCATCTTATTTCGCGCTGTTACTTCAGTAGATATTGAAGCACCATTGCGTCCGTATCCCTCTTGTAACATGCAGTTACTGCTTCCAAAGTCCGGGCGAGTTCAGGGTTCGTAAGGTCGTTCTCCTTTACTTACCCCCTTGGAAAATACGCAGGTAGGGGGGGGAGTTCGGGGTGGCGGTGGTTGGTTGGTTCGGTGCTGGTGCCTCCTTTCCTCTGTTTCTTCTCTTGTAGGAACCCTGACAACCTCGCCCGGACTTGGAAAGGAAGCAGTCGGGAGGAGAACATGCTGCAGTGAAAAGTTGATAACGAAGGAACAGTCGCCGAAAGAATCGGCAAAACAAATGAAAAATTGGTCGGGAGGGGTGAGTAGAA